CTAATCTTACTGAATTTTTTGACTGCATCACTAATACTATGTACCAGGGTGGTGCTGTGGACATAGCCTGTTTTGATTTCAGCAAAGTATTTGATACAGTTCCACATAATGAACTCATAGAAGAAATTGTACAAGCTAGGACTAAACCCTTGAGTGTTTTAGTGGTTATGCAGTTGGCTAAAGGATAGATATCAGAGCGTGGCTGTAAATGGGGTGCATTTGGAACAGACCTGGTAGTTTTTTTTTTTTTTTTTTTGTTTTTTTTTTATTATACATTTAGCCCTGCTGCGGATAAGCTTCCACACAGTGCCACATCCCCCCCCCCTTCCCCCGTGAGGTTTCCCAGACTCCACTTGACCATCTGCACCGTCGGCTAGAGGGGAGGGAGGAGAGCGGAAACGTCCGCTCCCCTCCCCTTCTTGTTCTGACCCGGAAGTGATGTTACGATGTCACCTCCGAATCCCCGTTGAGAGATTGTAATGCAATCAGTGGAGAAGAGGGCAGACATGCAGGGTCTTTTAGACCTTGGATGTCTCAAAGAGAACCTGTCACCAAAAGTCATCACATAGGGGACTTTGTCACACGTTTAAGTCACCATAAAGCCTCTTTTGTGTGTCCCCTATGTGATGAAAAAAAAAAAGTTAAAAAAAAAGTTTTTTTTTTTAATTGTAAAAAATTAGTTACACCCAAGCACATACCATTAAAAAAAAAAACAATTGAGGCCCCCACATATATGCACATACAAATGTAAAAGCACAGGCTGGGGCACCTACACATAAAACCATTGATTGCGATACACATGTCACATAGTACCGCGCACGCCAGGATGAGAGCAATAATTGTAGCACCAGACCTCCTCCATAACACTAAACTGGTGACCTATAAGGAGCTTTAAAAGTGTCAAACTATAGAAAATATAGGTTACTGAAGTTCTTTGCCACTTCACAAGCGTATACAACTTTATGATTTGACCAGATGGATATCAGTTTACTCACTGCAACCTCATCTTTTATATTTTACAAAAAATAGGGTAATTTATAGCTTTTTTGTGCCCTAAAATTAACTTGTATTTTTTACTACAATTTTGCGGTAAAATCATGCGACATAAAAAATTGGAACTACCACTATTTTATTCTCTAGGGTCTCTGCTTTCAGAAAATATAAATGTTTGGGGGTTTATGTCATCTTCAGGCCTAAAATGATTTTTTAAACATGTGCAAAAAATGCAAAAACGGCTCTGTCAGCGAAAGGGATAAGCCCTGACCCACCCTTTCCTGACAAGCATCCAATCGTTGTTCACCACACTCCCCCCCTCTCTGCTAGTCCCTGGGTGCGGTGCTGGAGACAGGCAGGGAGGGGAGGAGGAGATAAACAGCGCAATGTTAAAATATTACACGTTTAAGTCACTATAAAGCCTCTTTTGTTTTTAAAAGCCCCGACATGCCTAAAATCACCTTCGATTTAAATACAATTTCGGTTAAAAAAAAAAAAAAAAAATGTATCTGGACAAGTAGAATGTCATGAGGGACAAGTAGATTGGGGCACCAATTTAGTCCCTGGACAAAATTTTTTTTTTTTTAAATTACACACCCCTGCATGCTATTCAAAATTGTCAAACAATATGACCAATCACTGCGAAAATGTCACCAGCAGGAGTCCGGAGGTCCTGATTTCACTGTATAGATCTTTAGTTTAGTTCATTTAGAATAGTGTCCAGTTCTGGAGACCTCACTTACAAAAAGATTTTGATAGGAGAGAACAAGTTCAGAGACGGGTAACAAAAATGGTGAAAAATATTAGGGATAGAACATCAGAAGAACAGGTTTAGGAGGGCAGTATTTTCAATATGAAGCTAACATCAAGAACACGGGGACATGAACTCAAACTAGCAGAAAGATCAAAACTAGTCTTACAGTATGTATTCAGAAGTCAACAGCTGCCACATCTATATTTTCCTTGTGGTAGGTTTCCATTAATTTGCCTAAAAATAAGGTCAGAATAAACATTTTGTAGAAACCAGGCGCATATGAAAGTTTGTTAGAAAAGACAAAGGTATTAATAAAGTATCAGCAAATGCATATTGCTGCATGTTGTAACATGTATACATGTGCTATTTTCTGCTTAGACTAAAGTGTTTGCTTGACTCTTGTCAGCTTAGTGTAATGTTTGTGAGTATGGTGAGATATTTTTATATTCAGAAAATATAATCTGTGGAGCTAAACTCTACAATTAATTGGAAGCGAGAATCTTAATAAATTGGTTAGGAGGCTAAGCACATTAGGCTGAATTGTTTTCGAAATGACTTGTCTAATTATTGTGTCTGCAACATTCATCCATTTCTGAGTCACTCCCATGTCCTGGATGAATGCCTAGAATATTACAGCAATATGTTCCCCAATTGGTTATTCTGCTCATATGCAGATCTTCTCTGGGAAGGCAAACTTTTTTTTTTTTTTTTTAATAATCACAGAACAGAGAACAGTATTATGCTGCTTGTTTATATGACACTTCCTCGTAGGATGGGTGGGGCCACTCTTTTCATCTCAGTCTTTCAACCTGCTTCATCTGTATTATACTCACCATTGCACTGTTTGTCTTTTAGGTTTGCTGCTTATTTGGTAAGTGCCTTTCTCCGAAGTCACTTTTGCCAGTAAGGGCTGCACTTCTGAAACCTAACACCTCTTGAATGCCAAACACCAAGGAGCCTGTCCTGCAGTTTAGCTGAAGGTATCTTGTTTATCTACTGTGTTGTTGCCAATGACACCTCATGAAAAGGACTGCACTGACTGACATCCGATTCCAGCATTCTCACCGCAAAGTGTCCAAGGAAGTACAATATTCCACCGAAGATAGCCATTAAATTGGAGTAACTTTATGGAAAGCCGCAATCAGCAAAACATTGTCCCATCTAGATTTTGTATCGTGGACCCAGAGCACGTTGTCTTCTCAGCCAGAAGTGTTTAAGTGGAGCAGCTTGATCGATGACTGAGGCTGCGCTGATTATTTGGATCTTCTCATGCTGCTTTGTTTATCCCATAAAGCAGCTATATTTTTATTTAACTAGATTCTGTTGAGTAAATCCCTGGACTCCCAACAGACTTTTAACTTGTTACCCATCAAAGTTTGGTTTCTCCAGCATGGCTTTGAATGTAGCCCCAGTAAGAGATACAAAATGGCTAACTCTAGAGGTGTGCAGGCAGTTCCAGAGAGGAACTTGTTCAAGATCTGACGAGGAATGCAAGTTTGCACATCCACCCAAAAGTTGTCAGGTTGAAAATGGACGTGTTATTGCCTGCTTTGATTCCCTTAAGGTAAGGAAGGTTTGCTAATGACATTTAGATATTTGTATGTTTTATCTAGATGTGTGTATGTCAACCAATTTTTGCTTCCCTTTTAGAAATTCAGTTAATATAATTTATAAGAAATACATTTTTCAATAGATTTACAAATCTCTTTTGACCATATTTAGATTTTGACTTATTTTTTGTAGAATATTTGCCCTAATACAAAATTTTCAATGTAGTTTGGTGTGTTTATGGCAGACTATAAAAGAGTATGTGACCTCAATATACCACAAAAATGTGTAAAAAGTATGTGAGAGTCATTCACGAGATGCAAATTACATATTGAAAAATTAAGCAAATAATTTTATTTTTATCATCCTTGTGTTGCCATTCAAATCTGTTAACTGTATTCTCTATATGTATCCATATGTTATCGGTTATGTCAGGTTTCAGTTTCACAGTTTCGTTTCTCAGTAAATACCGAAAGCTCAGAGTTTTTTCATAGAATAGGCTGAATAGTTAATACCACAAGTAATGTATTAGGAAAAGTCATCAATGCTACCAGTTAACAGTTTTGTATGGCCCTAAGTCTGTTAGTCCAAACATATGGCCAATTGGAAAGATAAAGCTTATCTCAATCAGCAATTTTTAAAGGACATGTATTGTTTGAATTGTATAATTACTTTACAATCTTATTATTCAGGGTGTAACATGTTATGAACGGACCAGCCCCCGCACACAGCCTCCCCCCAGCCCCCCACCCGAGGGTAGAATCCCCACTGTCAGAATACAATAACGGGGGGGAGGAAGGGATCCCATGTTTATATCTCCTGTGTGGATGCCAAGATCTGTCAGTTTCTTTTAATCTTATTAGATTTTTTTACTGGTGCTGTCAGATTGTAGATACTGCTTGGAATTTGCAGCTGTTTTATTTAGCCCAAGCATACAAGGTTTTCTATTTAGCCATCAAAGTGCAGCTTGTTATGAAACCCTGACCTGTACTTTTAGGACACATGAGAAGTATGTAGTTAAATGCCTTAAGGCTCTTGGTTGAAGAATATTGTACGAGGCTGAAGAGCTGTTGTATGAGATATGTAATCACAGGCATTAGTGCCAAACACAAACTGTCAGCCATTAACACAGATACAGAATATGATTTAGAAAATTAGTATTTGTCCATCTAGTCTGGCCACTGTAGGATTTAGAGTATCTTTACTTACAACCCCATATATTTTAAAATTTAGTGATATCTCTCATGGCACATTTCATTATTCCTAATAGGTAAAGTGGGCATAGTCATCTGGGTGGTAAATGGGTGCATTTTTATGAATATGAATGTATGATATAATTTATTTATAATCTTAATTAACGTTAAGTTTTTGATTTTGAGAACAAGATCTGTGGTTTAAATCAAATCAATTTGTCAAACGTCTAGATATGTGCTGTATTTATATGTGAATATAATATTTTTTTTTTATTATTACTATATTTAGGTTTATTATATACAGTGAAGATATCAGGGTATCAACACTGACGGGCCAAATAGTCAACGTTTTTCTTCCAGACCTCTTAACCTCCTCCCGCCCGCCATATAGTAATATGACGGACGCAAGGTGGTTCTCTCGTTCTGGGAGGACGTCATATGACGTCCTCCCATTCTCACCGCGCATGCGCGGCTCCCGGAGCGCGCAGCGCGGCTGTCAGCAGTGCGCTGTGTCCCTCGGACACAGCAGATTTCCGATCCATGGAAAGAACCGAAAATGTTGGCTCGGTCATGTGATCAGCTGTGGCCAATCACAGCTGATCACATGTAAGCAGGGAAATGCCAGTTATTGGCATTTCTCTCCCCACGGGCTGTTACGCTGACAGCTCGTGAGGAGAGGAGAGCTGGTAATCGGCATTCCTCGGAGGGGACATGTACACAGATCATCAGAGCGCTGATGATCAGTGTGCCCTGATGATCTGTGTAGCCCCAGCAGCGCCACCTGTCAGTGTCCATCTGTGCCAGTTCTCAGTGCCACATATCAGTGCCCATCTGACCTGCCTTTCAGTGCTGCCAGTCAGTGCCGCCTATCAGTGCCATATATGAGTGCTGCCTTTCAGTGCCCATTAGGGATGCCTGTCAATGCCCATCAGTGCCACCTACCAGTGTCCATCAGTACAGCCTATCAGTGCCATCACTGCAGCCTCATTAGCGCACATCAGTGAAGGAGAAAAATCACTTATTTACAAAATTTTATAACAAATACTAAGAAAAAACGTTTGTTTTTTAACTTTTCAGTGGTTTTTGGTTTGTATAAGAAAAAAAAAAAAAAACCCAGAGTTGATTAAATACCACCAAAATAAAGCTCTATCTGTCACAAAAAATGCTAAAAATTTCAGATGGGTACAGTATTGCATGACCGTGCAATTGTCATTCAAAGTGCAACAGCGCAGAAAGCTGGAAATTGCCCTGGGCAGGAAGGGGGTATAAGTGCCCTGTAGGCTAGTGGTTAAACACACATTTACCATTTCAGAAAGGTGACTGTGCAAAATAAAGATTTGCAGTGAGTGGACTGCAAACTTCCTATTTGTTAGGTTGTATATAGAGTGAATACTAGAGTAAGAAAAATTATTTACAGAAGTTGGTGATTTTTGGTTCATGCTCTAGTAAGTGTAGATGAGTTATTCAGGCAAATATGTTTTATGAACGTTTATTGATTCATTGATGAATGTGTATTATGTCTCAAACACCACTTTGTAGATATGTCCCATGTGTCCATAAATGTACCTTTAGGTGGAAATGGGGTCTATTAGTGGCTACATGTTTAGTCCAACATGGCTGTTTTAAGATTGTCAGTTATCTAATTGAATACTTCTGTCATAGGCTATTTTAAGGTTCTCATTTTGTCTAGTGATCCGTACTACTTTGCATGCTCTCTATGACTAACAAATTATTCTTGCTTATAAAACAAATATCGGTCCTGTCTTTGAGTTGAACAGTACTCTGGCTACTTTTTTTGTTGTATATTTTAAATGGCACATTAACCATGCCCACCTAACTGACAACAACCTCCTTGACCCACTACGGTCCGGCTTCCGTCCCCAACACTCCACGGAAACCGCCCTCCTCAAAAACAACCTACTAACCGCCAAAGCCAAAGGCGACTACTCTGTCCTCCTCCTGAACCTCTCCGCGGGTTTTCGACACAGTTGACCACCCCCTCCTCAATAAACTACTCTCCCTTGGCATCAGAGACAACGCTCTCTCCTGGTTCTCCTATCTATCCCAACGCTCCTTCAGCGTTTCCTACAACAGTGCCACCTCCCCTCCCCTTCTCTGTTGGGGTCCCCCAAGGCTCTGTTCTCATACCCCTTCTATTCTCCATCTACACCTCCTCCCTTGGCAAACGCATACACTCCCATGGCTTCAACTATCACCTCTACACTGATGACACTCAAATTTACCTCTCCACCCCTCACCTCACCCCTACAGTCTGCGCCCGCATCACTCACCTCCTAAACGACATCTCAGACTAGATGTCGCTCCATTTCCTCAAGCTTAACCTCTCCAAAAACGAGCTTCTCGTCTTTCCCCCTGCCCGTGCCGCCCCCCCCCCCCCCCCCATCCTATCCATCACTACCAACAACACCACCATCAATCCTGCCCAGCAAGCCAAAGTCCTTTGCGTCACTTTGGACTCAAACCTCTCCTTCCAACCTCATGTCAAATCACTTACAAACACATGCAGGCTCCACCTCCGCATTGCCAAGATACGCTCCTTCCTTACCCCAGACACCACTAAGCTACTTGTGCACTCCCTGATTGTCTCGCGCCTTGACTACTGCAACTCCCTTCTCACCGGCCTGCCCCAGCGCAGGCTATCCCCGCTTCAGACCATCCTGAACTCAGCGGCTAGACTCATCCACCTCACCACCCACTCCACCTCTGCCCACCCCCCTCTGCCTATCCCTCCACTGGCTCCCAGTTGCCCAACGCATCAAATTCAAACTGCTAACTCTGACCTACAAAGCCATTCACAACACTGCCCCTACCTACCTCACCAACCTGATTCCCAAGTACCACCCTACCCGTACCCTGCGCTCCTCACAGGACCTCTTTCTGTCTTGCTCCCTGGTCTCCTCCTCCCACGCACGACTACAAGACTTCTCCAGGTCCTCCCCCATCCTCTGGAACTCACTACCCCAATCCATCAGATTGTCGCCTTCCCTCCTCACCTTCAGGCGCTCCCTGAAAACCCACCTCTTCAGGGAAGCCTACCCCACTGTTACCTACCAGCCATCCTCCTTCATTCCTCCTACCACTCCACCCCCCACAGCCACTTCCTCCTGTACCACTACCCCCTCCCTCCTAGATTGTAAGCTCGAAAGATTAGGGCCCTATAACCCCTCGTGTGCTGTTTGTTACTGTTTCATGTATTGTCCCCCCCTCTATTGTACATTGCTGAGCAAACCCTTTGGTGCTATATAAACTCGATGTAATAATAATAATTATCCTTCCAGGCACTTTTACCCCCTTCCTGCCCAGGCCAGTTTTCAGCTTTCGCACCTTGAATTACAATTGCGTGGTCATGCAACACTGTATGAAATTTTTATAATTTTTTTTCACACAAATAGAGCTCTCTTTTGTGATATTTTAATCACCACTGGGTGTTTTTATTTTTGTCAAACAAAAAAAGACCAACATTTTTTTTCTAAAAACACGTTTTTCTTAGTTTCTATTATGAAATTTTGTAAACCGGTAATTTTTCTCCTTCACTGATGTGAGGAGAAAGGAGACATTTACACGGATTATCAGTGCCCTGATTATTAGTGCAACCCCAACAGTGCCTATCTTTGCTGCTTAAGAAAGCCAATTGGGGTCCATCAGTGCTAACAATCAGTGTCCATCAGAACTAGACGACCATGCTCTAGCCGTCATTTGGCTATAGTGCGGTCAGCAAGTGGTTAACATTTTAGGCTAGGTTAGGAAAACAGCATTGGGTGATAAAAAGACCCCTGTAGACAGACATCAAATATATGTCAAGCCAAAAACTTTGTTTTTGTTTTGGATAGAGTGGGGAAGGATTAGTACTGTTGTCTTGTTTATACTGCTGTCCAGGGCTGCATTACTGGGATTTTCCCTCACATTTTGTTATGCTGACAAAAGGTTTTACCAGACAGAAAGTAATCAAAAATCTGCAGCTGAGATACAGAGAGAAGAGAAAAATCTAACGGGGGTTCTAGTCTTCCACTGTTCTATAAAAAAAAAATATTCTAATTGTACGGTACAGGACTCAGGCAAGATATTCTTAGACTTTGGGTTATAGGCTGCTACCTTTAGGTGATTGGACAGTGGCATAACCTTTGGACACACATAACCCTACATTAGTTTTTGCTTCTTCACCTATATGGATATTTTCTTTGCCTAACTAGTTATTTACTTCAAATTCTGCTTTCATCTCTTCATAAACACTTCACTGCCTTCAATTATAACAGTAGAAGCAATGCATCCGGACCAGTATAACATTAGTAATACCTTGGGAACCGTACCTGGACCCCACGCTGTGGGGAGTTTAATGCCTGTAGTTAACCGCAGGATGCTATACAGTCCATAGGGGAATTCCCTCACTGAAAGCAGTGGTGTAAACCAGGCTCAAGGCAACCATGGAAAAAACTTGCCTTGCCGATTAGTTGCGAAACATTCAAACCGCGAATGTCAATGTTTCCTTTGCACTAGAGCAGGCCATATTTTATCACTGATCTCTGCATCTGATTCTAGGCCGATCTCAGGCACGCAACAAGTGGCCTACCTGATCAAGCCAGATTTTTCTGCAACTATGTCAGCATTTCTCGATTAACTAATGACTTTAATACAGTCATCCAAGGCTAGAGCTCAAAAGAAACAGGCTTCTTCTCCACCCCACCTTCCCTACCTGAGTTAGATGTGGAACTACCTGCTCTAGAAGAGGTAGACATGAAGATCATTGAAGAAGAGCTGGAGGCTGTGTTAGAGGAGGCCATGGAACATTTCTGACCCCATGCTCCTATACATGCTACGGCTTCATGCAATATGCTTGCCAGTGCATATATGCTCACGTGTGTTGTGCACAAAAGCCTTGGTATAGTCGCAGTTGATTCTACTCCCCATGTCCCTCTGGGTACTAAGACCTCCCCCTGCAAAGTCTAAAAAGGCATTCACGCTGAAAAAATAAAAGTGCCAATTTACTGGGTTTTGCCTGAAATCATTGCTGAGCTACTGTATGTCCTGTGGAAAAAGAATTCACTAATAAACTGTTCAGATGGTTGACCCTGCCAGCTCAGTCTTAAGTAAACATCTTACTGTTCCTATAGAAGATGTTCTTTCATTTAAGGGTTCTGGAGACAGAAAATGTCTGACACTCTCAAAGGCTTTTTTTAATCTTGCATGTCCAGTACTGCAACCAGCTTTTGTTGCAATTTCTCTTTGTCAAATCTCGGCTAACGGGCTAGGGCAATGAAAAATCGACAGTCCTGTCTTCCAGGGACCGAACTATGACAAAACACTTACAAACCCTGCTTTCTGCCTATCTTTCCTGTGTTGAAACCCTAGAAAAACTCCAATTACCACCATGGCTCTCATTCTGTCCATCTGCACAGAATATTATGACTAAAAGCCTGGTCTGCTGAAGCTGCCTGTAAAAGAAGAAGAAAAAAATGAAGAAGGTTGTCTCTTTGACAATGCACCTGGTTCAGTTCATGAAGGATGTCACAGGAGGCAAGGTCCTTCTTCCATAGTGGAAAACTCCAAAAAAAAAACCTTTTCAGGGGCCTCCACCTCCTAAAAACAAAGAGCACCCTGTCATTCTCCTCAGGCTTCATTTTCAAAGCCAAAATTCAGCTTTTCCTTTTGAAGCAAGACTGGGAACACAAAACCCACCAAGCCTATCCCAAAGCCACCTTCTCAATGAAGGAGCATCTTCACTCCTTTAGAAAAAAAAAAAAAAAAAGGGGGGGGAGGGATCTGTTATTGCGTTCCTTTTGGGTTACAGATGTTCCAGACCTGTGGTTTCAAAGGGGTACAAAACAGCATTTCAAGCTCTATGCTCTCATTGTTTTCTTCTCTCAAACCAACCAAAATCTGCCCAAGGACAGACAGATTTACAGACTGCCCTGAACTATCTCTTGTCTCAGAGATTTTTTTTTTTTTCTTCCAGTCCTGCTGGAGGATAGGTTCAAAGGATCCCAAAACCCAACGGGAGTATTCGTCTTGGACCTAAAATCCCTAAACTTCTACCTTCGTTTTCCCAAGTTTCGCATTGAATCCGCAAGATCAGTTGTTGCCCCTTGAGACAATGGGAATACATATTCTGACTTACCCACCTCAGTGCTTTCTATTCTTCGCAGGAGGACACAAACATTTTTAATATGTTGCACTCCTGTTTGGCCTATAGTTTTGCACCCAGAGTTCTCACAAAGGTGCTCTATTCTCCCTCTTAAGTTATCCAGATTACAGGGTACCAGAATAACCTTCTTCTGAAGGATTTATCTCCTTCAAAACTGTCTGCAAATGTTCAGAGGACTGTTCAGAATCTTCAGGTTTCAGTTACCCTCCAGCCTTCCTTTTGTCTAAAATACTTAGACCTCAATATAGACATGACCCAGGCAAAAGTTTTCCTTCCAAAGAAAATGAATAAGCTATTGCGCTGAGTAGACCCCAACCATCATTTAACGGAGCACATAAGAGAGCCAGGAGAGTGTTAGGGAACACCAGGTGAAATGGATGCAGCTCCTCTCAGTTTAGGTCTAGATGCACATTTATAAAACAAACACAAGAAGGCACCTCCATCTTGGTGTAGCGAATTTATGAAAATGAATAGCAAACAATATAAATGTACTTGCTAGTTAAATGGATCTATGCTTGTCATAAATTCATAAAGACAACCATAGGATCACCGTGAGGCTGCAGAACTTGGGAGGCAAGCAGCTATCTGAAGCAGAGTTGTTGGTGGAAGTACAGCTGTCAGGCCTTAGGCTGGAACATAGGCAGCTGCGGATTCCAGTTGTAGCAAGATGGCTGTGGCTCCAATCAGCACCTCTCTCGGCTGGGTGATGGTGATAGGAAGTGAAGGGGGTGTGGCTATGTGCCAGCCTGAGGCTTGACATCTGTACCTCCATCAAGAACCCTGCTTCAGCTAGCTGCATACCTGCCGAGTTCTACAGCCTCATGGTGATCCTATGGAGGATTATATGGGTTTATGACAAGCCTTGATCCACTTTTAACCAGTGAGTGCATTTTTATTGTCCTTTTATTCATTTTAATAACTCACTACACATAGATGGAGGCACCCTCTTGTTTTTGTTTTATTAAAGTCATCCTTACAGCAAACAAGCTTTTCTCTCTAAAATCTCATGCTCTTATCTTAAGATCCAAAAGAAATCCCTCAGTACGTTTCTCCACTAGAGTCCTGGACCTCTTGGTAGCCTCATTTGAGGCTGTTCGCTTTACTGAGTTTATCTCAGAGCTTTTCCAACATAATATTCTGTTGGCCTGGAACAAACACACTCCATCTTGTCACTTCCTTATGCTTCTCTCCAGTCAAGCAAGAAACTCCTTAATTTTTTAGATTCCCAATCCAGCATTGGAAATGTGAAAATCACTTCTCCCACATTCATGGAAGTTGGTAACAATAGATGCCAGCCTCACAGTCTGGGGAAGAGTATTCCAATCTCTTACGGTTCAAGGAACATGGTCCCCAGGGGAAGCAGAGCTCCCCATCAACATCTAGGAGCTTAGAGCAATAAAATTGGTTCTTCATCACTGCACTCCCCTTCTTCAAGGACACCTGATAAGGGTACAATCAGACAGTGCCACTGCAGTAGCAGTCAATCATCAGAGATGCTAGGCAGCCTTGAAGGAAGTAAGTCTGATCATCTCCTGGGCAAAGAAGCACTGTCCAGCAATCTTCGTTGTTCACATCCTGAAAGTGGGCGATTGGAAGACACATTTCCTCCGTCATCACCGTCTAGACCAAGGGGAATAGTCCCTGCATCCCAACACCTTCAGTCTCCTGTCAAAATGTCAGAAATGCAAGATTTCAGTTGTGGATATTCTGACCTCCCAGGTTCAACAAAAAGTAACCCGTTTGTGGCCAGGACCAAATATCCTCTAGCACTTGCATTGGATGCTCTGCTAATTCCCTGGACTCCATAAAGGTTAAAATATGCCTTCCTTTCAGAGTAGATTCTTCCTCCACTGCTGTGCAAAATAGAGAGAGAGAAGAAATTATAGATTCTCATTGCACCAAACTGGCCCAGAAAAACTTGGTACACGGACATACTGTACTTCAAGAAGACGACCCCTGGTCTCTTCAAATAGACCAGACCTGCTGTCCCAAGGCCCTATGCTCTATCCTGCTCAGTCATTGGCCTTTGACGATGTGGCTGTTGAAACCCAGGTCTTAAAGGACAGCGGTATATCTGATTAATGTGAGAATGATAGACTCAAAGCTATGAAAGCCACTATAGGAAAAATCAACCACCGTATCCGGAAATTATATTTTGTCTGGTGTGAGCACAAGTTTTTCAGCCCTAGAGATAGCTTTGTACCTTTCATTCTGATCTTACTATAGTCGGGACTGGAAAAGAATTTGGAGATTTCGGCCTTGTCTGTTTTATTCCAAAAATCTTTGCTTCACTTGTTAAAATCTTTATTCAAGATGTCTCAGATTATACCCCCATTACAGCACCCTTTGCTTTCTTGTGATTTTTAAGCTGGATTTCTCTGCTCTGCTTGGACCTTGAAGAAGGGGACATACCCCGAAAGCTTGTCCTGAAAATTGTATGTTAGTGTATGTTAGCTTGTCCTGAAATTGTATGTTAGCTTGTCCTGAAAATTGTATGTTAGTGTAAATAAAAAAAAGTATCGTGGAGGGTACTAAATTGTTTCTGCTCTGCAGAAACTATTGAACTCCCCTAGGGTGATCTCGCCTGCAAAATGGCATTTCTGGTGGCAAACATGTCTGTCAGACATATTTTGGAGTTAGTAGCTTTTGCTTGTAAGAAGCTTTTACAGGTGAAGTAAGTGTATCATTGGGACTGGCTGTCTATGTCTGGAAGAGGCAGCTGGGCCCCAAATAAAGTAACAACAATTGATGGTGGCACAGGATTCAGTTTGGTGTGTTATTGCTTGAGAGGGTTTTTCTTTTTTTCTTGAGAGTGCATGTGATCAGCACAGGGCCAATCGGCACTGTCCAGACAGAAGTCAAGTCTTATAAGCTTTAACCGGTGCTCAGCTGGAAACACGCTTGACAGCTGGACATAGAAGTCACAAGACTGCTCTGACCGCTGATGAGAAAAGTTATTTAGCAGTTTATATTTACTAAAATAATTGCATTTCCATGTTCTGTGTACTGTGGGAGACCAGATATAGTGAATGCAGGGTCCTGGGTTTAGTAACACTTTAAGATAGCCTAATCTGTGGCAATCATTTTGTTAAAATCCACAGACCTGAGCTCCCTCTTTATCCTATATATATACTAATATACAGAGTCCATTGATCCTGCACTTGGCTCCTCTACATCACACATTGCCAGTCTTCCAGGAAAATGCATGTTATATAAGATGTCACATATTTGGTCAGCCAGGGCAGCAGAGTTATAACACATTTTACATTGTGTTCAGCAGACTGGTCACATTGCCCTGGCACCAAAAATCCACCCTGCAATATCAAAAAGATAGTGGGAATGTGGATTGTATTGCCCATGTGCACCAAAGAGAAAAGACAACCACAGCTGAAGCACTATGGGCAGGGGCATTTGTCACCAGAATTATATACATTTTATCAGACAATTATGCTTTGTCATCTCTTGTGTTTGAAATATTGTTTTTGAATAAAACGTACAGATTATTGATCTAATTTCAGCACTTTGCATTTTGGCTGATGTGGGTTACAGCACTTTGCAGATTAATATAGCAATTTGTGCAGTTCAATTTGACAATGCACACATTGAAACAAAACCACAGTACATTTAGAATGCCTGAATCAGCAAACTGCTGATTCAGTATCATGGACCTTAATCAGAGAAAGTGGAAACAGCTGCTAAGGGACTGAAAAATTACTGTTAACCAAAGTTTGTGTGATGGTGTAGACATTATTTTCATGTATTTTTAAAGTGTTACTAAACCCACAACAATAAAATCAGTCTGTATATGCAGTAAAGCATGCTTGTTATACTCACTGTGGAACCTAAGGGGTTAATCCTCCACATTGTGTAGAACAGAGCCTTGGGGGCAAGCTGCACATGCTCAGTGTGGTGTGTATTGCTAGAGAGTTTTTTTTTTTTTTTTTTCTTGGAGAATGCATGTGATCAGCACAGGGCCAATCAGTGTTGTCCAGACTGAGGGTCAGGGGTCAGCCTTATAGGACAAACAGGGGGAGAATGAAACATTTTCCTACTATAAGCTTTAACCAGTGCTCTACTGGACATCGATAGAAGTCACAAGACTACTCTGCTGATGAGAAAAGGTATTTAGCCATTTATATTTACTAAAATAATTGCATTTCAATGTTTCATGTACTGTGGGAGACCAGATATAGTGAATGTGATATAGTGATATAGTGAGTGTTACTAGATTTAGTAACACTAATTGTTAAAGTAAATCTAAAGGTACAGTAGAAAGGACACAAAGTCCGTTATAAACCAAAGCCTGATATTGAAGCTGTGCAAGACTCTCTGGGCTCATATTAATGATTTGAATAAGGTCACAGACTCCTGCAGACAGATTAGGCATGCACGGAAGGCCATTCTCTGGCCAAATGCATTACAATTTCATTGGAATGTGGTGGTTCCTGGTCAGATATAAATTGTCTTCCATCTTTTTTGCAATTTTCTTTACTGTCCACTCTCTACCAGCTATTCTGTACACTTGGAAGAATTGGAGAATCCGTAATATACCAGTGCTTTTTAGTGTATCCTTTTAGCCATTTTCAACCTTTTTTTGTCTCAGAGATACCATTGAACTGATTTCCAGGTCTCTTGATCTCAGGAAACCCCTGCTGATAAACATATCTACACTAATGGTATGGTAAAAAAAAAAGTAAGTTATAGATACAAACAAAAGAATAATGGTATACCACGAGTATTTGACGCTCATGGTGAATCATTTTAGCAGTGAAAAGCTCTAAACTAAAAAATGATTTTCAGTTATCATAAAATAATTGTCATGATTAATCACAAAATTAAAATGAAAGATACTAATAATAAGCAGAAAAGAAACCTAGACAGAGTCCCTTACATCAGTGGTATGTGGAGAAGTGACTCCTTATGTTGGTGGTCAATGAGAACAATACCACCCTTTCAGATAGTTAAAGAGATTTTTAATGGCATGCTACTAACTTTGCCAAGTAGTGTTGGTCTTGGAACCAAGTAAACTGTAAAAGATAAAAGGCCAATCTGCCATTGATCAAGGAACCCCTACCAACCTCTAAAGGAGCCATAGGAATACTCAAAACACTATATAGTGTTTTGTGAGCTTATAATATGTTTTGCTTTGTTCACAAAAATGTTCAGTGAATCAAAGTCTGGTGTCTGTGTATGGAACACTATTGGATTCATCTTTTCTTGGACATCATTAAGGTCTGAAACAGCTTTAATATATACTTAGGATCCCTGCTCTGCCACAAAATGAGTTATTTTCCATACATCCTAAAGCCAGGAGAGATCTGGTACAAATGTCTAACAAAAGACTTTATGAAGTGCTGTTACTGCTCACAAAGCCTCTGAATGTAACTGCAGACTTCAAATTTAGATGTATCTGTTAACTAGACTTTCTTGTGGTATTCGATACTAAAATGTTATTTAGCAGATGATTAATGCTTCTTTTTGTTTGTCCAATGAAGTAAAATTGCGAAGTGTCCTGTAATACAATTTTGAATCGAGTAGAGAGAGAGTTAAAAAGTCTCTGAGGTTCTTATTTCGGTCTCTGATCCAATTAGGGATATTTCCTATAATTTCTTCACTGACAGGAAGTGAGGGGAAACTTCCAAACAAAATAGTTAGATTTCAAAATAAACCTGAGAGTTTCTAACCCTACCCCTTAAATAATAAGATTCATCTAGAGTTAGACTTTAAATATGACTATATACACTATATTGTCAAACGTATTGGGACACCCATCCAAACCATTGGATTAAGGTGTTCCAATCACCTCCATGGCCACAGGTGTATAAAATCAAGCACCTAGGCATGCAGACTGCTTCTACAAACATTTGTGAAAGAATGGGTCTTTCTCAGGAGCTCAATGAATTCAAGTGTGGTAACGTGATAGGTTGCAACCTGTACAAGTCCATCCGTGAAATTTCTTTGCTGCTAAATATTCCCCGGTAAACTGTTAGTGGTATTATAACGAAGTGGGAGCAACAGCAACTCAGCCAGAAAGTGGTAGGCCACATAAAATGATAGACCGGGGCCAGCGCAAGCTGAAGCGCACAGTGCGCAGAATTTGCCAACTGTCTGCACTCAATAGCTAAAGACCTCCAAACTTTGTGTGGCTTCAGATTAGCACAACAACAGTGCATAGACATCTTCATGAAATGGGTCTCCATGGCCGAGCAGGTGCGTCCAAGCCTGAGTTGCAGTGAAGGGAACATGTAAGGCGTCCGCTTACCAAGACAGTTTGGAAAATTTCATGCTCTCAACTTTGTGGGAACAGTTTTGGGATGGTCCCTTGTTCCAACATGACTTCGCACCAGTGTACAAAGCAAAGTCTATAAAGACATGGATGAGCGAGTTCGGGGTGGAGGAACTTGACTGGCCTGCACAGAGTCCTGATCTCAACCTGATAGAACACCTTTGGGATGAATTAGAGCAGAGACTGTGAGCCAGGCCTTCTCGTGCAACATCAGTGCCTGACCTCAGAAATGTGCTTCTGGAAGAATGGTCAAACATTCCTATAGATGCACTTCTAAACCTTGTGGACAGCCTTCCCAGAAGAGTTGAAGCTGTTATAGCTGTAAAGCGTGGGCCAACTCAATATTGAACCCTATGGACTAAGACTGGGATGCCATTTAAAGTTCATGTGCGTGTAAAGGCAGGCCTCCCAATACGTTTGGCAATATAGTGTATACATTCATAAACAACTCGTCTGGTGCAGCTTTCTATAGTTTGTTAGCCCCCCTCTAGTTTTGTAAGTTGATGGGTAGGCAGTGCCTTTTGCCTCTGTAATATATTTCTAATCCAAACTTCTGAGTGTCGTTGGATTTGTAGATGTGATAAATGCAGTAATTAAAATAATTGTAATTTTAAAAAAAAAAAAAAAAAAGCTAGTGTTCTGATCAATTATATGTATTGGCTTATTCCACGTTAATTTTTACTAATGTGCATCTAAATCTAAGCTCTACATGCTTCCTGCAGGTGCGTGGTTTGTTGGGATAGAATGGGAATTACAGGGGTTTTAATACTTTACACTTTCTATAAGAATAATCCTAAATCAACAAGATTTGTATGTAACTGTGTTGATAAATGCACATCTTAAAGTGGCCCTTTCTCCTGTTTTATTAAAATTCACACCATCATGTATCTCTGCATGCTGATGTGAAATCATTTACATTGTGCTTTTATGGTTTTCTTTTAAGTTTGTTTGATTTATTTCCTTTATTCTGTCCACTTCCTAGTTTTTCTGAAGGCACTGATGACATAGCCCTGGCCACACTGATGCCCCCTGGAAAGGCAACATCTTTTGTGTCTGCAGGGAGATCTTGTACCTAATCTACGGGATCTTGCAGTATTGTTTTACTGTGCATGTGCGAGATGGAGCACATTGTCATGCTGCTCATTTCGCACATGCTCCATACGGCGTTACATTCATTTGTAAAAAAAAAAAAATGGGGGGGAGAGGGCTTTATTTTTTTCCAAACAGAATATAAATATAATGTTGTATTGCGCATGCATGGAAAGAGTCGCATGATGTCATGCACTCCATTTCACACATGCATTTTAGGACTGTATTGCAAGCTGACCCCGGAAAGGGTTTTCAAAATGATATGGGAGCAAGGGTACAGGCAGCAGAGAGGTGCCATGAAAAGGAGAAGGAGAGGTAGGTAAGTGTACGTATTTATGTTTTAGGTTTCTTTGTGTATTTTTTCCAAGAGGGGTCCTCCTTTAACTTAAGGAAGTTCATACACTTCCTTGACTTGGCTTAGTACTCAATCATCAGCTCTCGCAGACCTGTTTGCATGTACATCTGCACACGTGGGAGTTTGGCAGAAACGTGCCTCATAAGAATTGTGCATAGTAATTCTAGCATTTGTTTTTAGTAATAGCATTAGTTGGAAGAAAGTTTTTGGTTTCCTTTTATAATGGTTGTAATATTTGTTTATAAGTCTGTTAAAAAAAACAAGCCCTGTTGTGAGGTGGAATCAAAACATTGGGTATTATATTGTGTGTGTGCACAATGCAGCAGGCCAGCTATCCAGCAGGGGACCTGGACGCAAATGGAGATCACTGGAGTAGCAGTGCTTACTTCAGTGATTTCCTGCTTCTGTAGGGATCAGATAGGTATGGTGTATATATAGTATGTCACAGAAGTGAGTACACCCCTCAGATTTTGGTAAATATTTTATTATATCTTTTCATGTGACAACAATGAAGAAATGACACTTTGCCACAATGTAAAGTAGTGAGTGTACAGCTTGTATAACAGTGTAAATTTGCTGTCCCCTCAAAATAACTCAACACATAGCCATTATTGTCTAAACTGCTGGCAATAAAAGTGAGTACACCCCTAAGGGAAAATGTCCAAATTGGGCCCAAACTGTCAATATTTTGTGTGGCCACCATTATTTTCCAGCACTGCCTTAACCCTCTTGGGCATGGAGTTCACCAGAGCTTCACAGGTTGCCACTGGAGTTCTCTTCCATTCCTCCAGGACGACATCACGGAGCTGGTGGATGTTAGAGACCTTGCGGTCCTCCACCTTCCGTTTGAGGATGCTCCACAGATGCTCAATAGGGTTTAGGTCTGGAGACATGCTTGGCCATCACCTTTTACCCTCAGCTTCTTTAGCAAGGCAGTGGTCATTTAGGAGATGTGTTTGGGGTCGTTATCATGTTGGAATACTGCCCTGCGGCCCAGTCTCCGAAGGGAAGGGGATCATGCTCTGCTTCAGTATGTCACAGTACATACTGGCATTCATGGTTCCCTCAATGAACTGTAGCTCTCCAGTGCCGGCAGCACTCACAAATGCAGCCCCAGACCATGACACTCCCACCACCATGCTTGACTGTAGGCAAGACACACTTGTCTTTGTACTCCTCACCTGGTTGCTGCCACATGCTTGACACCATCTGAACCAAATCAGTTTATCTTGGTCTCATCAGACCACAGAACATGGTTCCAGTAATCCATGTCCTTAGTCTGCTTGTCTTCAGCAAACTGTTTGCGGGCTTTCTTGTGCATCATCTTTAGAAGAGGCTTCCTTCTGGGATGACAGCCATGCAGACCAATTTGATGCAGTGTGCGGCGTATGGTCTGAGCACTGACAGGCTGACCCCCCCACCCCACCCCTTCAGCCTCTGCAGCAATGCTGGCAGCGCTCATA